AAGCCTACAATGTGTGTGTATGTTTGCACCTTCTTCTAGATATGAGTTCCTCAAGATCATGGACAATGTTTTACCCATCTTCGTATCTCTAGTATCTAGCATAGTGCAATATCTATATTAGTTGCTCAATAAACGATTATTAAATGAGTTGCATTTTGGACCAGTCTAATTCACTGGAATGCCCTCTCTAGATTGTGTTTTGAGATTACTGCCACAGCTGCATGTCTGAGTCTAAGTTTACTGGGTTTGGTTTTGTTCTCTAGCAAAATGATTCATAATCCAGTCATAATTGTATCAACATAGATATTAATAGGCATATTGAACCCAACCACCACTTGTATTGTACACAAAACTTTATGGGTCATAAATTCATTCTTTTGGAAACAGTGTACTTGTATATTAATTTTTAAACTTTACACAACAATTAAGCAAAATAAGACAAGGCCTAATATTTTTTTAGGCCTAGAGGTTTCCTTTCTAGTTTCATTATAAAGTCAATTCCTATAATATATATCTATGTCCTGCTACCAATTCTTTAAGCTACAACACATAAGACCAGATTAAAAATAAATAAATGGGTCATGACTTCTACCCCACCCACAAAATGATCCTACCTGCTCATTGCTCAATCTAACCTTGCTAAAGAAAGAAACCTCTGGGTGGGGAAGTTTTTATATAAATAAATTCCTAAGGATGACATTCAGTGAGAGATCACTTGAGCAAGGGAACATGCCCACATGTATGGAAAAGGCACAGATCCTGTGTGATGAGCAGTCCAGGTAGATGGCAGAGTACAGCATCTCCTAGGTCTGTCCTTCCGCCTCGACTACACTGCTATAATTGGGGCAAGATTTAGAGGCACAATGTCCTCCTTCGTGGATTCTCTACTCATTACTTCTAAATGAGACATCAGGTGATTTCAGTTTGTTAACTACCCTGTCTGTTGATCCCATGGTATTCTGTTAATTAGGCTTATTATGCAGAAATATGCAGCTGGATTCATGGCTAACATTTATTGAGCACGATGGACCAGGAACTATGCTAAGCATTTTACAAATCATTACTAATTTAATCCTGCCGGCAACACTATGAGATAAATATTCCCATTATCATCCTCACTTTAGAGGTAAAACTGAAAGAGATTAAGCCCAGATCCCTTAACTTCTAGGTTGGTGGCTTAACATTATGTAACATTGCTCTAGCAAATGTCACTAAACACTTCATTTCCCTCATTCAAGCAACTAATGGCTTCCAAACTATTTGTTTCAAACTGGATCCCTGCCAGTTTAGAAACCCATGAGGACTTCTTTGATTAATCCAAAGATATACTAGTCTCCCACAAGTCTATTACCTGAAATTCTAAACATTTCTCTGTATGTCATCTTACTAGATTGTTCATTATTTTTTTTAGTGTTTATTAACTGATGAGAAATGCTTATTTGTTTGCTGGTGACAAAAGTGCATATCAGCGTAGTTTTCCTTGAACAGTACCTAGTACTCTAAAAGATAAAAGATTTGATCATGGGGACATTTAGGAAGGGCACTTCACATTAGTAGAACCTGAGCTCACACATCTGTGTGTACATACAGGATTGGCAGATGTAACTGTAGCCATGATGAAGCACAAAAGAACTGCCTGCAGATGGGAAAGGGCCAATGGGTTTTCTTTAAAGAGCTTTACACTAGGTAGTTTATTTTTAGACATCTTAAAACAGTATAAGTGTCAAGTCAGTTTTCCTATCAAACTCTGAGTATGTTTATTAAAAGATGGAAGGTGACTGAGAGAGGTGAAAGAGAAGTTGGTGATAGCCAGAAGAGGGACTAAATATGGACAAGAATAGTCTACTGGTATATACTAGCATTCAAGAATAAAGAGAATTGTCTACTCTGCTAAAATTGGTTAGGAAGAGGAAAGAAAGGGTGTGGAGGGTATATTTACAACAATGAGCTAATTCCTAGGGAGATGATACTTGATTATCTCTCTTCCATGGTACAGTGGTGAAAGCCAGATGTTCATTGTTAAAAGCATGGTGGGTGGGAAAGAAGAGTAGAAATGAAGATCATGGCTGGAGATTGGAGGAAGCAATAGTGACACTGACATAGATGACACATTGTGGCTTCAGCCAAAACAAATTTGTGATGAATGCTTGCTAAGATTTTCTTCCACAATGCTCTGTGGGTCCTGACGTGTAGAAATCTGTGGATTTGTGACTGGAGGGAAATTAGTAGACTAGGAAAGGACAAATCCTAGGGTTAGTAGGAAGACCAATTAGAAAATAACTATGGTCTGAGAAAGCAGAAAGGCTTGAGAAACTGCATTCATTCATTCATTTCACAATCTTTTATTGAGAATTTATTGCTTACTGGTTGTCTGCTAGGTTCTATAATACAAGGATAAGTGAGACTCTGCCCTGGAGTTATACATTAAACAGTGGCCAGGTTGTCACTAATTGTTAGGGAATGCTTGTATACAAATATGCCTTGGAAAAGTAGGTTCCAAGTGGTACCAGTTCTGTCTCATAATCAGGCAATAAGAGAAACAGAGAAAAACACTTAAGCTATTCAGACAGTAGGTAGATCCAAACAATCAAATGATGTACAACAGAGAATAATTATTGACAAAAACAGAGACCAAAGGTAGTAAGTGGGTGAGGGAGTAGTACATGATTCTGGAAGAGATGTTTGGGATGCAGGAGATCTGGGAGTCCAGGTTGAATTTGGCCATTGGAGAAATGCCAACCCTTGAGGTAAAAGAAAAGTTATAATTTGATATGGGGATTAAATTCTAGGGCCTTCACCCATCAGCTTCCATTCTTCATATGGATTGCAGGTACCTACCTAGAAGAGTTAACTGAGGGAGTGTGATGAAAGGATTAAAAATCCTTGGTTCAGCAACAAACTGACAGAGACCCAAGTTCATACAGTTTGGTTGGTCTAGGACCAATATTAATATTTTTATTGATGTATTTGGAAGGATAAATCAAGATAGGATAAATTAACTTGGTGAATAACACAAAGACCAAAAAGAAACAACTGACTTATGTTCTTGGTGATTATTTATTGTTTAGGTGTTTATTGCCTATCTTCTTCAAACTAGATTTTAAATTCCATGAGGGCAAGGACCTTGTCTGTCTTGTTCCTTGTTGTTTTCCCATCTCTTGGAACAGTACCTGCACATAATAGCTGCTGAGTAAATTGCTTATATTGTGTAAACAATGGCAATAGATTGTAACAAAGACTGACAGCAGTATGAGCCAGTGCTACAGCAGCAAAGCATTAACTCTGCATTGGGGTTTGGGGAGGCCTTCAGAAAGAAGGTGACATTTTAGTTTGGAGAGTGGGTACGATTTTGTGAGGTGGAATGGAAAGAGAAGAGTGTTCCAGAAATGATATAACACCATAAATAAAGGCAATGTATTATGAAGAGCATGGTATATTTGGCAGATAGTGAAAAGTTTATTTTTTGAACATTGATACTTTTAAAATGTGGACAGTATTAGTGGAAAGCAAGTTTCCTTCCATACAAGCATACTTTACTTTATGTTACAGTTGTGAAACAAGGACCATGGGGGAATGCAATAAATTCAATTGCTTTTAAAAGACATATGGAGTGAAATTCTTTTGTCGTGAGGATAAAATTGCCCATAGAGAATCTTTCCTGAAAAGCTTTTTCCTCCAAAGAGGACTGGTATATGGCTTTGGTCTAGCTTTTTCTAAGAGATTTATTTAAAGAAGTATGAAGAAACTGGTGAGTTGAAAGAAAAAGTAATGGTGGCCAATGCTTTTAACAATGATAAAAAATTAGATCAAGTGTTTAAGTTTATTTAATGTGAGGAGAGAACACAATCAATGTTCATCATTTAAGAATTATCACTAACCCAACCTTTCATTAAAACAGAATAGTAGAGGTGGAACCAGCAGAGACTTTTATTTGGTGAACATGTTCTGTGTAACAGGTACTTTGCAGACTTTGCCTCACTTAATTCTTACCATCTCCCAGAGAGACTGATGACCACCTCCATTTTACAGAAGAGGAAACAGAGGTACAGAATGGCTAGGTAACCTACATGGGTGGTAAATGACACTGACATCATGGTTGACTTCTAAGTTCATCCTCTTTCCCTGACCCTATGCTGCAAACGTTCTTCATTGAACATAATATACAATACCAAAGAAAGGAAGGCACAATTCACAGTGTGTGTGTGTGTGTGTGTGTGTGTGTGTGTGTGTTCTGGGCCAGGCAATATTTCCCAAATAGCTTCAGCCACGCTGTCTATAATTCATCCATTACAATTAACCCCTGGGTTAAGGTATTGTTTCTGAAGCCCTGGTTGAAATGCAGATATGTGACCTGGGAGGACTGACATGATCTCTCAATTACACCTAATTAAAGTGCTGGCTCTTTGAGAACTTGACCTGACTGGTCCAGGAATCGGGCAAGGCCCTGCGGGAACAGGAAAACAGATGACAGGTGGGTGTCGGTTGGGGGAATCACTCTGTGAGTCTGCAAAGGCTGGGGCTACACTAAAAACAAACTTTGACTTTCGTATAATTCTCTGGGGAGGGAGCGAAGAAGACACCTTGTCCTCTCATTCCAGGACTCTTCTGGAATCCCACTGACAAGTCTCTTGAGGTTCACTATATTCAGTCCCCCTCGTCGGGGGTGGGGCGGTCAACCCAAGAGCAAATAAACTGGACTGCTGCGAACTCTCCTCTCTATGCCCACAGTGACCGGTCCGCAGATTTAACCCTTTATACCCAGACTCCGGTGCAGGGACTGCGATCCCTTCCGCACCGGGCCCGCCACCCCGACTCAGGGACTGGGCATGCTCAGTCGCCACCCGCGTTGTGCTCCCAGGGAAACCTCTGCAAACCCTCCCCCGGCTTTCGGCTTCGGTAGTCGCCACTCACCCGGCAGTCTTCCCGGGTGTATCACAGCTTGCTCCCCTCCACGCGACCCAGATTCCAGCCCCGCCCCCGCCCCTCCCGCGCCCGCAGCCAGTGCGGCAGCCGCGGCCAGCCCTGGCCGTCCTCCGCACTGGGGACTGACCGTGTCGACCGCCGTTGCGGAGCGCGCAGACCGAGCGCCTGGGGAAGGCGGAGATGGAGACGTGACTGCCATGAACCAGGACCTGCTGAGTTTTCTGCTGCCTTCGGAATCCAGGTAGCAGAGCCTGGGACCGACCCTGGAGTAGCTGAGGGTCGAGGGGAAAATGTCCTTGGGGTGGAGAGAGGAGAGGACGCGAGGCACCGTGCTAGCTGCGCTGCGTTTGGGGCGCAGCAGAAATGTATGGTTGCGGACAGAGAGGGGATTTGAATGAAAGTGCACACTCTCTCAGAGCAGGGGCTTCGGGGTCACCTAGGACTGTAATTCCTCCCACCCAGTCTCTAAATTTAACACCCGCGGAGCTGCAGGTTGGCGCCAGAAGATGTTTGTATCTTGCCCCCCCCCCACCCCCCCGCAGGTCACCTAGCAACTGAACGCCCAGGGCTCTGAAGGAGGCATTCCCGGAACAGGCCAAAATGGGAGGAAGGGAGGCCTGGTCCGGGCCCTAGAGTTCCCCTGCCCCGCGGCCCTTGGGGCAGTGCGGGGCTGAGGGTTGGCGAGCCGCAGGGCTAGGGGTCATCCGCGCTGCCAACACGGAGGTGCTGCCTGGGAGCCAGAGCGCGGTTCCTCCACTAACTGCTGGGAAATTCCTCACTAATTCGAGCATCTCTCTTTCCTGGGCAGGTAGTATTGAACAGGCTGACGGGGAAGCGACTGCTGTTAAGAGCTGATAAAAGCAGAGTAGTGGAGTGTGGTGGTGGGATGTGGTGTTGTGAGCGCCTTTTTGTCCAAGTGTGGATGGGGGCTGCTCCTACTCACTGTGTTTCTCTGTTCAACCTCTAAGTGGCGAGTCCGGTAACACGCCTTATGAATATTTCAGGAAAGATCTCGCAGGCTCGCTAGCTTCAGATCAAGTTTAATGAATATGTTTGTCAGCCTTTCTCTTTTACAGACAGGTGGAAGCCGCGTGCTTTGAGCTTTCCAAATTTCATCCCTTTCCCATACCAACTAGGCAAAGGCGCTACTAACCCTCTGTGAGCTTTAAGTTGGAAACGTAAATTGAGTCTGTCATTTGGAGAGACCAATTTTGGGCAGGCATCCAGACATTGTTCTGCATCTCTGCAGTGTGTGCGGTAGCCTGACAACCGTCCTTAACTGGAGCTGCCAATATGGTGGAAAGCAAGTAGTGTGCTTGTGTTGGGATAAACCTCTTAATTCATTATCAATTTAGGGCACCAGGTAGTTACAACGGACTTAGTTATTGTCTCCCTAGAAGTCAGCTCTGAAACTAGTCTAGTTGAAATTTGAGGAAGGCACACTCTTGTATCCCTCTGCTTTGGGAGGCATTTCTTTCTCAATTCTTTCATGGGAATGAGAAATAGTGTGTTTTCAGTAATCACTGTCAAGAACACTGAAAGAAGAACGCATTAATATAGGGAACTTTCGGGATTGGGACAAGCTGTAGGGCATGTGTCCTTTCACTTTGGGTATAATTTCCATTGTACCATCACCATTAATCAGTAAACCAATACGCACAGCAGTTTTTGCTCTAAAATGATACTCCTTTGCAGAAGAAACTTGCTTTTTTCTCCGTTGGTGAGACAGGTGTGTCTCTGAACAACCTATGAGGTATTCCTCTGTTGACCAAGATTTCAAGCCTCCAAAATTTACAAGATTCTAAAAGAGGCAACCTTTTCCTCTTGCTAGCCAGTACACAGTCAAGCTGAAGCACTTGGATGGACAGATGTTTCACATTTAGGGGTGGCTTTTCCAACAAAGAGGGGTTGCAGTTACATCACAGGCTCCACTTCTGCTTCCTAGGCTGCTTCTCCCCAGCCTGTTAGTGAGAACTGTATGTCTCCCTGTGGTTGATTAATGAAGAAAGGAAATTCCAAAATGAAAGACTTGTCTATTTTCCTTATTGTGCTTTTCTGGTTTAATTAAAAATATAAATTTTTCAAAAATGGTTAATCACTAATTATTAATTCATGTAGCCAGGGCTTAACTCAGGCATAGTAATAACTCTATGACTATCAGCTTTCCAAGAGATATTGAACAGCATTGCAGTATTCTTTTTGCTAAAATTATTGATAGTGAATGGAATTCTATGAAATAGCAAAATAAGTGAAAATTTCACATAATGAATAACTTGTTCTGAAAGATGTGACTGAGATGCTCAGAGAGATACCTAGCTGTATTCACAGACATAAAATCTGGCCAACTGAGAAGTTTGCAGAGCTTGGGTGCAAACTGCCAGAAGCTCTAAAACAGTGTTCCTTGAGTCCTCTGAGAGTTTTTAGAGTTACTGGTAGAGTTGTGATATTTAGCAAACAAAAATACAGGTTGCCAGTTAACTTTGAATTTCAGATAAGCAATACATAATTGATTTTTGTATAAGTATGTCATGCACTATTTGGACTTGCTTATGCTAAAAAATCATTTATTGTTTATCTAAAATTCAATTTGGAATGGGTAGCCTGTATTTTACCTGGTAACTATAGACAGTGGAAATTTCTCATTTCTCTTTTTTGGGTCACGTAAGGGTTGAAGTATAAAGTGGAGCAGAAATAATATGCTGTTTTGCAATCTGGGACAAGCTTGGTTCCAGTTCAAACTATTGAAAATTGCTCATGCTTAGAAGTAAGTAATTTCAGTTCAACATATCTTTCTTGAGTACCAAGTACCTCTGCTTGCTAGGCTTCATGAGAGGTGCCAAAGATACAAAGATGAGTAGGAAAAGGGAGGGGGTCTACATCATGTCTGTGGGGTCCATGGGAGCCTGCGAGGGACACTGAATTCAGCTGGGCAGCTTTTGACAGGTCTGACCTTGAATAAGAAAGTGAGGTCTTATCCAGGGAGGAAAAGAGGGGGGAAAATTAATTCATATTTCATGGTGCAGAGCTGGATTTTACCTGATGGCCTCAGTTAGATGGCAGAGTGGCCTGCTGAGAATGAGGGAAGTAGGAGGGGATGCTAAAAGAAAGATTGAATAGTTGAACAGGGAAATGAAAAGAGACAAGTGTGGGGATTGGTAAATGGTACTTGAACGAATGCATCTCATTGCAGTTTAAAAAAAGTTCTAACCTTTGACTAGTACCCAAAGTTTTCCTTTAGGATTCTGCTGCCATCCTGGTTTTCTCGGGTAAAAGGTCAAACAATACTGGAATATAGTATTTTAAAGTTTGACTACTTTTATATAAAAGTAGATAATTAAATGTAATATTTGAGATGCTGACCAATATTCAGTTGCTTATGGCATATATTTCTGAAATAAAATAAGCAGATGTTTTGGTTTTAGCAAACCCATTGCTTCAAATAGAAAAAGATATGAAATTGCAATCACCTTCTGATTTGGTCCAGCTATCCTTAAGGAAGCAGATTCTGATGATGGAAAGAATGCAGATTTTACAGATATAGCACTACATGAAAATGACCATATGCTTATAGTACTAGAGAGAACCTACTCAGAATGCTGCAAATGCAATTAATTCCAAAAAAATTGTTCACCATTTACATTTATGTCTTTGTAGACCCAGCAGATCCTTTCACTTCTGATTAGCATAGGAAGTTTCCAGGCAAGTTGAAGTTCAAACTAGTGCAGTCCATGTAGAGAATAGTTCCTCATTTCTTGAAGATTCCAGTTTGCCAATAGCAAGCAAATAAAAATAAAATACCATTCTAGATTACACTCTGTCAACAGATCTATTTGTCTTAGGGACCATCTTCAGAAGAATCTCATATAGTTGAGTGTCCATATGTAAATTTTCACTTCATATTGTACAATAAGTTCTTGAAATCATGAGAATTACTCTGTGCTAAAAAGTATAATGAAGTAGTTAATTAGAATCTCTCTTATCAAATGATTATCCTTTAAATCAGAGTAGAAAACAATTCTATTTCAGGTATTAGTACTGATCCTCTTTATAGTCTGCCAAACATTCTGCCTTATAATTCTGGTAATACTGGTAATATTCTGGTAGTACATGAGAAAAATATTATTCTGGTAGTATATGAGATAAAAAATTTTAGCAACATATTGATGTTAAAATTTCAAGGCAATTACACCATAGGTTTTATTTTCAATGAGATTTCACCTGGATATGGCTTATTAAAGAAAGGCTTACTTGAGTGATCTTTAACGACAGCTTATGGACTATCACCCAGAGAGAGCTTTAACTGAAATTGTGTGCTCAATTTACATTCTAAGTCCTCAGTAAATAAGCTGAATTTAAAGATTCTGAAGATAGTATGTTCTCACATCCCAGGAACTTCTAACACTTTAGCTCACTTACACTAACCAAGAGCAAGTTTTATTATAGATCGGTTTCTGTGCTGTTAAAATGAAAGATATGCACATTTTAAAAAAGAATAGTTTGCCCACTCCAATCCTCTATGTCTATAAAATAAACACTAATTGTTACCACTTTATTCTTAATGAAATTAGACAATTTGCATGTTGTCTATGTACTCTCTATGATGTTTCAGATGCCGCAGAAATAATTAACAATTTTCTATATAGGATTTTTTTTTTTTTTTGCTTTTTTAATACCAAGCAAGATGATTGTAAATGCCTCAGGAGAGCTCATTAAGCTCTTTTAAAAATCAGTCTAAAGCAAGTGAATACCTGAAGATTCAAAGTCTTTACATAGCTTTTAAATGTAGTTTCCATTTTAATTATTGAGATTAGTACTTGGTTAATTAGAATGTTTGGTATAAGAGTTTATTTCATCGGCTGTAACTCCCCTTCCTATTTCCCTTGTACAAGTACATGGTTAAAAGCTGCTGTATGTTTTGAAGTTCTCATTCATGATTAAACTAATAATTTATTTATCCCACAGCTGCTTTGTGGTTTAGCAAATATCATCAATGACATCATAAACTCTGTTCCCTAATTTTTCTTGTATCTCCAGTTGGCATTATGAATATTTTAAGTGTGAGTCAATCTTTGGAATGAATTTATTGTGCGAATACATTTCTTCCTTTTCCCTTTAGAAATAGAATAAGAATGTTCTACCCTTCAGAATTTGGAAGCCAGATTATCTGAAGACTATATTCCAGGAGAACATTTACATTTTATTTGGTCTTAGAATCCATTTAAATTAGAAAGAAACTTAAAA